CAGCTTCCTGCCTGCCAGATCACAAGAACTGCCATTTTGCTGAAGCAAACTCAGATTATGCCACTTAATTTTTCTCTTCCCATCTGATTCAGAACTGAAGTTAATGATACTAAAATCTAGTATCGGTAAAGGTTCCCCTCGCACATATGTACTAGTCGTTCCCGACTCTAGTGGGCAGTGCTAATCTCCGTTTCAAAGCCAAAGAGCCAGCGCTGTCCAAAGATGTCTCTGTGGTCATGTGGCCGGCATGAATAAACGGTGAAGATTCACAGAACGCTGTTGCCTTCTCACCAAAGGTGCTTCCTATTTTTCTACTTGCATTTTTTACGTGCTTTCAAACTGTTCGGTTGGCAGAAGCTGAGACAAGTAACAGGAGCTCACTCCGTTACACGGTCGGTGCTAGGGAACCGCCGAACTGCCGACCTTTCTGATCGACAAGCTCAACGTCTGAGCCACCACATCCCTGACTAAAATCTATACATAAATAAAATCAATACAGGGCCAAAAATGGCCTCTATACATTTGAATCAGAAAAGAAAAAAAGGCAAGATGCTGGAATAGGGTTGTCATTGGTAAAAATTAGAGGAAGATTAGAGCAGAAAATCAGGCCGGTTGCATAGCAGAGCAAAAAACAGCAAGGACATAGAACAGAATATTTATATATTCTGTTATAATATATTTTGGACATTGAACATACAGTTCTTCTTAATGTAGCGTCCATAGCAAATATCTCCTTTTAAAGGAGATTTCGATAAAGATATGAGAATTGGGAGATAGACCCACTCTAAAAATGTGGGGAAGCCAGGATATGTTGTCATTAGCAAGTTGCTACCTTCAACTATACCTGCCCTGCAACCTCTAAAGCTACATACAACACATAACTGAAACATCAACAGCAGCTCCTTTAATATTCCTTAAACAAAACAAAAGGCATTCCTTGCTACCTTGCTACAAAAGGCAAAAGCACATATATGTCTCTGCAAGGCAAAATTACTACTATTAGTACTACTACTACTACTATTATCAATGCATATAAACATCCATCTTACAAGCCATTTGTTAGGTCTCGGTTTTGCAAAGGCGGCTCTTCCATGACTTCATTTGCTCCTAGGGCTGTGCTGAAGTTTCTGGTCCTCCCTTTCCCACTAGGGGATTAGGCACTTGAGGTGGGTGGGATAAGGGGGCAGATCCCTTTCCTTCCCCCGCCTCGGCTGCGGGTCGCGGGGTCAGAGCCCTGCCTGCATTTCTATTTGCAATCTTTGCCCTGTTCCCTCCACCCTTCCACATCTCCTTCGCCAATATCAATAGAAGGATGCCAGCACAAACGCATCCGATTGGCTGAGGAGGCAGAGGCCAAAACTCCTGGGAAAGCTGTGCCTTGACTCACTCTCCCACGCTGGCTATCTTAACAGCAGCAGACTTCCGACAGAAGCCCCAGCCACCAGAGCTCTGGGACAGCTTGGAAAACTGTGCCCTGGATATCCCTGCCATGATACGTGCAAAGAAAACATTCGAAAGACAAACTTGGAAAGAAGAAAAGCAGACCTTTAGGGCACTCCTGACTCCGTCTCATAGTGTTTTTCTATCCCCAAGACAATTAGAAAAAAAGAAAGTAGAACTGTCCTCATTTTTGCCATTATTAGATAGATTCCTCACTTCTGTGAACTAACTGTAAAACCATAAACATAACTTAGTCACATTATTTCAGGCGTATTTCTAAATTGCTAAATTTGCCAAAAACAAATAAACCCTCTTATGTTAGTTTGATATGGGAACATCACAGGGAGCAAATATTTTGCAGTTCCAGAAGAGATCTAGGGCAGTAGCCCCCCCACCTTTGGGGCACCAGGGACTGGTTCAGTGGAGAAGGGTTTTTCCCTGGACTAGAGGGGGCGTGATTTCCCGTAATGCCTACAGCCCACAGATAGATCTTTGCTTGTATGCATGACCTGTTTTTCTGGCATGCTGCGGGCAAGTGCTGGTCCACAGACCAGGAGTTGGGGATCCCTGATCTAGGGTTGGATAAAAAATAAAAAAGTTGTGCAGCTGAGAGGAAAACAAAGGCATTTTAAAGCCTTCATCAAAATTAGTACTGCTCAGACTTGTCACATGGGTAAGGTTCCGTGGTGAAATTCAATAATTTTCCCTACCATTTCTGTGGGCGTGGCTTGATGGCTATGTGATCGGCTGGGCGTGGTTTGGTGGTCATGTGACTGGGCAGGCGGGGCTTGGTGGTCATGTGACCGGGCAGGCGCAACTGACTCACACACAATGTAAAAGCAGATAGACTTCACACAAAATGGCTCCTGCAACTAGCAGGAACCACACAGAGAGCTCAAAAACCAACTATCACACTTTTCACAAAAATAACACGAAAGCTGAACAACTGACTCACACACAATGTAAAAGCAGCTGGACTTCACACAAAATGGCCCCTGCAACAAGCAGGAACCTCACAGACAATCAGACACAGCTATTTTTTAACATGTTTTATACTACCAGTTCAGGCAAATAGGTAGCTAAAAAATGCTTTTAAAAAGTTCCGACGATTGTGCGGCACAGCTGATTGTCCCTCAGCTGATCGTCTAAACTTTTTAAAACTTTTTAAAGCATTTTTTACTACCGGTTGGGGCAAACCGACCCAAACCGGTAGCATTTCACCCCGGTAAGGTTATTAGAAAGTCAGGACAGAAATACAAACGGCAGCTTTAGGAATGAAATCCAGTAACTTGAAATATACCTCGAATAATGATATATAATTTGGAACTCTTCAAAATGTTATAACCAACTTCCAGTTGTTATAGCTGGCATAAATAACAGAAAGGAATGGTGCAAATTACAGGCCAGATTATCTGGAGAGCACCAGATTGCTTGTTCCTGACCTAAAAGGATAAGGCTTTAAATTCATTCGCTTGTCTATCTAATTCAGTATTACCCATACTGGAATAGGAGCTTCTCAGTAAATTGCAATAGGTTGATGGGCCTGTTTTAGAATTTAAAATATAGTTCTTACTTAATTCCCACCTAAAATGGACACATATCACGCTGTCAGTTTTCGTAATCATATCGAGCTCCGAAGAGCATAAACAAATAAAACTAAGACGTCACAGGCTGTCCACCTCTAACAATAACAAACATGCTGTATCTCTGAGTGATTTTTAGGCACAATTTAAATAGGAGTATCTCAGAAGAGTATAATCTTCCTTCACATTAGTAACCCCAACCCCTTTTTACGACCGTACCTATAGCTGAAATACTCACTAAAAATGGATCAGAGTTGTGTATGAAGCCGTAAAGGATCTGAATTTAAAATTGTAGTTTAAGATCTTCTTCTACACTGTACACCAAAGAATCACTTTAGCGGCTTATCAAAACTCTGTATCCAACATTTGCGCAATCTAGAGGGACAATAACTCTCCAAAGTCCTCTACATAGTTCTACCAACATATACCAGATTGTGACCCGTCAAAACCACGCTCGACTAAGCCGCGCCCGATTAAACCGCGTTGCTGATGTCATCAACAGGGCGACACAAGCCAGCGCGG